CTACATACATGCTCTGTCGCGTCCGATCTTTGAGTTTCCTCAAAGATGCACGCACGCACACACACAGATACACTGACCCCTCCTCTGCCCCCTCCTCTCCCCCCTTCCCTGCCCCCTCCTCCCTGTCTCCCCAAGATGGTTCCCCACACTCCCCCCCCCGCTATTTGCTGGGGGAGTAGCTGAGGCTCAGAATGGGGTTCATTGGGGACCAGGTCCTCCTTCATTTGGGGGAGCCTGCCCCCCATCCACCCCCCTGAGCCCTGACCACACGTGGCCAGCCCCCCCCTCCCCCCGGGCTCCCCGAGGGGGAGACCACCTGGGCCCGAGGGTGATTGACTGGGAAACGCAGCTCCCCGCCCTCCTCCCCTCCCCTCGCCCTCCTCTCCTTCCCTCCTCTCCCCCCCTCCTTCCCCCCCTCCTTCCCTCCCTCCCTGGCGGTAGGTGCTCCAGGAATCACAAGGTTCTTGCCTCTAATTTAAGATCCAGGAAAAGCCTGGCGCGGTGGGGCAGGAGGAGGGGGGAGGCTCGGGGTGCGGGGAGGGAAGGCGGGCACCCCCCCCCAGGAAGTTATAGATGGGGGGACCGGGAAAGAAATCGACAAGGATGCTGGGAGATGGTGGGTCCTGGCTGGAGGATGGAGGGGGTGCAGAGTGGGGGATGAATAGATTGGGGGTGCGTATGGGATGACCCCCTTCTTTTCTCCACTCCCCCCCCCCAGTAAAGGTTGAAAATCTGGGTCACAGCTGAGAAAGACCTCAGACATGAAATGCAGAATGTGGTAAGTTTGGCCTAGCTGGCGGTGGGCAGGGGAGGTGACCAAGGGGGTCATTTTGGGGGGGGTGTCGGGGTGGCTTTGCTTTTCCTACCTAGGGCCATCCATCTTGAGGGGCTTTAGGAGGGGAGGCCAGGAAGGCCGGGGTCTTTCCAAGGAGCTGCTGGAGCTGGAGCTGGAGGGAGGCGGTTGGGAAGTTCTGCTGCGAGTCTGCCCTGTGGCTCACGCGGGCTCAGGGGGCCTGGGTCTCTCACCGGCTTTCTCTCCCTTCTTGTAGGCTTCTGTCTCCCCTCCTCCCTCTCTGGCCACTGCTGTTGCTGCCTCTCCCACGGCCTGCTCAGGGCTCTTCTTCCTCCTCCTCCTCCTCCTCCTCTTCTTCCTCCTCCCCTCGAACCCCACCAGCCCCAGCCCGCCCGCCATGCTCCCGAGGCGGGCCCTCAGCCCCCCGACACGTGTGCGTGTGGGAACGGGCACCCCCACCCAGTCGATCCTCCCGGGCCCCCAGATCCCGGCGGCAGATCTTGCCGGGCACGGCGCCCCCCGCCACCCCCTCAGGCTTTGAGGAGGGGCCCCCATCTTCCCAGTACCCCTGGGCGATTGTATGGGGGCCCACGGTGTCTCGAGAGGATGGGGGAGACCCTAACTCTGTCAACCCCGGGTTTCTACCCCTGGACTATGGTTTTGTAGCCCCCCACGGGCTGGCTACCCCCCACCCCAACTCAGACTCCATGCGGGATGACGGAGACGGGCTGATTCTGGGAGAGACTCTGGCCACCCTGAGACCATTCCTGTTTGGGGGGCGTGGCGAAGGTGAGGGGGCCCGGGGGGGGGGGGGTCAGGGGGGGGGGGGGGGCTGGCTGCAGGTGGAGAGACCTTATCAGTGAGGGTCGGGCCGTGTGAACGCTTAGAGACAGCTCACGTCATGCATGCTGTAAGACCAGCCTGGGCCTGGCAAACTAGAGTCGGGGGTTCAGGGGGAGAGGCTGCAGGAAGGGCTGGCTCAGGGGGAGCCCACAGATGGCCCAGGCCAGGGTTTGGGTTCAACCAGGGTCTAGAGAGCTCTGAAGATGTCAGTTTCCTATGATCTTGGAGAATACCGACCTGTTAGAGCTGGTGGAGTAGACAGTTAGCAGACCTTTAATAAAAAGATAATAACATATAAATGGGGGGCGGGGCTGGGCAGGTGGCTCAGTGCTCGCCTAGCATGCTTGAAGCCCCAGGTTTGATTCCTTAGTACCATATACACAGAAAAAGCTGGAGGTGGCGCTGTGGCTCAAGGGGTAGAGCGCTGAGCCTTGAGCCAAAGAAGCTCAGGGACGCCGCCCCGGCCCTGAGTTCAAGAATAACTAGGTCTTGGGCACTAGTGGCTCATGCCTGGAATCCTGTCTAGTCAGGAAGCTGAGATTTGAGGATGGTGGATCGAAGCCAGCCCAGGCAGGAAAAGTCCTCCACACTTTTTCTTTCCAGTGGAGCCATGGTTCAAGGCATGGTTCAAGTGGTAAAGGACCGACTTTGGGTGGGGTGGGGGGGGAGCTAAGGGACTGAGTTAAAGTTCCAGTATGGCGCACACAGGAACAGGAAGAGCGGGCTGTGTGGACTCACAGGACAGTGCTCAACTTAACCGCGGTCTCCATCCTGTTAGGTGTGGACCCGCAACTGTATGTCACCATCACCATCTCCATCATCATTGTTCTGGTGGCTACTGGCATCATATTCAAGTTCTGGTAAGCTGTGGGGTGCCGGCCCCTGAGTGGGGGCCCCCCTGGGTTGTGGTGTGGTTTTTGTTTCTTTGCCAGTCTTGGGGCTTGAATTCAAGGCCTAGCCACTGTCCCTTAGCTTCTTTTGCTCAAGGATGACACTTTTATTTATTTGAGCCACAGGTCCACTTTTTTTTGGGTGTGTGGGGGTGTTAATTGGAAATAAGTGAGACTTTCCTGCTTGGTCTGGCCTTGAAATTAGAGCCTCCGATCTCAGCCTCCTGAGTAGCTCAGATTGCAGGCATGAGCTACTGGTGCTTGGCAGGGAACTGAATGTTTGGAAACTGAAGTTGTGTGAGGGGGAGGAGGAAGAGGGTGGCAGTCTGGTGAAGGCTGGGGCAGGAAATTGACTGAAGGTTAGACCTTAGGCCGGGCTGTGAGAACCAGTGTGGGTTTTTTCTGTAGAGAATGGGAGGAAAGGAGAATGGAGAGTTTTTGTTGGGGGCGGGGGTCAGTTGTAGGCTCGGGCTCAAGGCCTAGGCACTGTCCACAGTTTGTTTTTATTTTTGCTTAAGACTAGCGCTCTACTACTTGAGCCACAGCGCGCCACTTCTGGCCTTTTCTGTGTCTGTGGTAGTGAGGATTCGAACCTGGGGCTTCATGCATGCTAGGCGAGCGCTCTACCACTGAGCCACCTGCCCAGCCCTCAGATGGCAGTCTCTTGAGCAGCTAGGATCACAGGCGTGCCTTACCTGGGCCAGGCCTGTGAATTCTCTAAAGTGTGGGAGGAGGGATTTTTGGTGGGGACCCCTCCAAGACAGGCTGCAGATCCCTCCTCCCGTCCAGGCAGGATGAAGAACATCTAGCGGTTTCTACACGCACTTGGTCATGGGGTCATACCTTCCTTCACACCTCACTGAGAGAGGCGTGGGGTCATTGGCTGGCTTTGGAGAGCGTCTCCTGTGGTCCTGCG